TCCAAGGGTAGCAAAAGCTAAAAGAGGACACAGATCAGACAAAACCAGTTAGTCCCCTGGGTAACCCCATTAGTTATCTCTGCTAAGATTTAGACACTATCTCTAAGCTGCTGTCAGAACTGCTCAGCTAGGTAAAACAAAGGGGAGGGGACAGTGACAAATGGACTTGCCCACCCCACAGGTGAACTTCTAGTGAGGAAGAGAGAGGCCCAGGCAGACAAAAACAGGGAGCCCCAGGCCAACATGCTGCCAGTGCTGTTTGTCAACTAATTGCAGTCAACGAATTTCACCCCAAAACTTATCCACATGTATATATAGTATAGCTGACTGTAGCAAAAGGCAAAATCATTCTCAACCTCAGTTTCACCTGCAACTCCACCATATCTGATTTATTACTGCTATCCAACTAAACAGAAGCAGCCTCCCTCCAGACTGCTACTTTCAGAAGAGCTTCTCACCCAGGCAGGCAGAATTTGAACCTCCTCCCCACCAAAACCTCTCACAGAAATCATCTATGCAGTTGCCACAGTCACAAAGGTGTTAAGACCTTCTCCAACAGAGTTGATTCTGGAAGCACGCATTACCACCTTCATACCCTTCTCCCATCACAATCTGCAGGGAATAAACCAGCCCCTGAACAGTAACTGTGTTTGAAATACTCATTATTTCTCAGGTATGAGTTCAGGTACACATAGCATTATTTCATCACTTCAGTTTAACTCAAAAGATGTCTCAGGCTGCCTGAGTAGTCAGTCTCAAAAGCTGCTAGGCTAGTTTGGGATCAAAAACAATTTTCTCAGCAAGATGCATTTTTAAGTGAATACACTAAATAGTTTGTAGCTGTTGCATACATTTTAAAGGAGGTTGATTCCTGCAACCACCCAGGGACACCAAACTACTATGCTTTAACTGTGATTTGAGCTGAGAAAGATGATCCCACAAAATTCAAAGAAAAGCAACAAGGTAAAGAGGGTTTATTTTCTTCATGGAGAAGCATTACAAACACTACTTGTAAACTGTAGCCATGACACAAACGACCAAAAAGCCCAACAAGATAATGAAGATTAGTATGTTATTTGTAATCAAGGAAGCCCTAGGATTTCTGACGAATTATTGTCACTAAGGAGAAACGTTGTAGATTAAGGTCAATAGATATAGGGCTAATCAGAAAACCATTGGCTCATACTGATTTGATGTTGGAGATCTGAGGTTAAGAACACTATAGTAGCTAATCTACCAGCACTTGAAGATGAACTGAGTAACTTAACATTTCCTTGACAAGAAATTCAGTAAGACAAAGTAGTAGTAAATTGGTCTTTACACCAAAGTGTAGTAACGGTGTTAGGGTTGTTCCATTAAAAATAAATAAAATATTTATCCAGTTCCCTGGGATGTTTTCGGTTTGATTTTGTTTTTTTGCCTTCACATCTGTTGTATCAGTGAGCCAATTGATCCAACCCACCACTTGTATCTGCCATTGGCAAACTGACGGAGGTGATGACCCCTGAAAGAGGTGGTAACGAACAACAGGAGACAGTAATCTCTGGGATCTGTACAGAGACTATAAGCCACAGTCTCACCCTACCATTTTTGCTCATTGCTCTGAGAGCACAGGGGTTACAGAGCAAGTTTTTAAACCCTGTTCTGGCTTGTGAAGTAGCATTTACTCCACTTTCTGTTTGGAAATGTGCCCAGAAACAGTGTGCGTGTGAACTGCCTCAGTAGATGCACAGGTCTCTGCCAAGGCACCTCCACAGAAAGCCAGGTTCTCTGTTCTGTCTCATACACAGGGAGCTGACAGTACCCCTTACAGTAAGCATATTCAAAGCCTTCCATGATAAGATCTATTTTTACTTGGCTATAACTTTGCCAGTATTGACCATTCCTATAAATTTCCTTCTGCTGGGTGCCTACCTCAGGCTGAAAGATTTTGAGAAGTATGAACTTCAGCAGATGAACTAATTAAGAAAGATCTAAGTGAAACATTTTATTCTTTTTTTTTTTTTTAAAAGGACGTTTCCATTTAAAATGTTTTACACCTTCAGGTTAGAGAGTAGAGAGGGTAGGAAACTGAAATTCAGCAGACGGAAAGTATCACTGCAGTGTCATGGTGTGCAAATCCTCCCAAGTTTGGTGGTTAAGCTATAAGCCTCCAAAATTTCAGTTCCCACCAAAACAGTTGAGGCTTTTGGTACAGCCTGACAGCAAAATGTTTTCAATGCAATTTCTAGACTGAGCTAGAGAAACTTTTTTTGTAATTGCTTTGTGTAATTTAACACCATGCATGAGAAACAAGAGAAGAGAAACTCCTCCTCTGTTTTCAGTAGATTTGTTAACCAAGAAAAGAAAGAGCTGTGTAACTCAGAAGAAAAGAGATGGGAAGAACTGGGAAAAACAGCAAGTTAGAAAGGCCTGACAGTAGAAACACAATAACATGCTAGGGCAGGGAAAGTCCTGTGGGAACAATCCAGGCAATTCTCATCAGGACAGATGACATCCAAGACAGACACATCTGCTAGTACATGCATATGAATTATTAAACTTTGGCAGAATTTGAGCCCAATCCAATTTCTCTAAAGCCTTTCTTTTGGCTGTCTCACCTGCAGTTGTCAGTGGTTTGGCTGTGTGTTATACAGCTTCTCATTTAGCCTAATCCACAATCACAAAAGGTGGAGTATTTTCTGTTTTTTGTAAGGATTATAAAAGCATGCAGACCTTGGCAGATATTTAGTCCCAGTATGGGGTATTAAATTGCATAATAGCAGTCTTTTGTTCTCCTTTCAGACTGTAGGCTTCAGTTTGTCTTCTCCTGTGGATATAATGAATTTTCTGTTTACAAGTATTTCCATTACCTGCTAGACTTGCATCTAGTTACTAGTTTTTAAATGAAACAAAAATATAATCTATAATTTGTGAGTTTCAGAAAGCTGCAGTGATTGACCCAGGAAGGGCTATTTTTTCCTTCCTCTGCTTTCTGCCAAAATGTTTGGGAATAAAGGGCTTTCCACCGCTATGCTGGAAACCTTAGTCTCCTGGTCAGAAATCAGAGGCAAGACCATGCAGTGTCAGAGATCATTTATCATAGCTCATGAGCTATACATGTATATGAAAAACGATTATTTTTTATAGTGTGATAGAGGAGTGCAAGGGTAAAATTTGCCAATTCGAGTTATGAAGGCAATGCAGACTTTGCTAGAATCATAATATAATTAGGGTGAAGTCTCTGATCAAAGCAAGTTGTGTTTTTGCTTTTGAACTGAGGAAAAGCTCAGTCAGCATTTTGATACTGTAAAAATGAATTCCTCAACCTTTGAGGTTATTAAAGACTTTAGAGCATTTTTACAATGAAAATCATAGTTAGCAAAGCCTCTAAGTACATTATATTTGAGGTAAGCATTTCTCTAAAATTTTAACTAGATATTTCACTTGCCATTGTAAAGCATTTTGTGGTGTTAATTCACACAGCTAAGCAATAACTGCATCACTTTGTAGCTTTCAGTGGTTCCAGTCAACATAATTCAATCTACATAGAGGACAGCATATTGGGAGGTACAAATTTACTCCTTTCTGCTACCTGCAGAATTAGATGATACACGTGATTTTTATTTTTATTTTTTTTTCAGAGACATCCAGGTCTACCCAACCTTTAAGGAAGGGTTGTCTGGGTAATTAGGTAGGTCATTTCTGCTACAATTTCTAACAACTGCAGTGCAGCCACACACATCAATTCTGTCAGCCAATGTTAAACATAACTATTATATTTGTTCTCATGCCCTAGTTAAGAAAGAGACACATTAGAGGAGCTACATCCTCTGCCCTGGGCTGAAGAAGAGACTGTGGAGGTTACTGTGCTTTAATCACAAGCCCATGGATAAGTAATAAAGGCAGAAGACACTTGTATTTCTGTTGCTTGATTATTGATGAAAATCAGACACCTTCAGATGAAATTTTAAACTTAAATTGCACATTTGATAATTATATTCTGTGGGAGTAAAACCTCACAGATTTTCCCAGCCAAAATTCTCTCAAACCATGGCTAACTTTCACCACTTTGCCATCCTTCCAGTGAAAAGGCGCATAGAGTGTACTGGGAGCTATACGGGACTCTGGCAGCTTTCACAGCTATCTTCTGGCATGCTGAACTCTCAGTTGGTGTTAGTAAAACCTTAGGTATTTATTTTTCCTCACATCGAAACTGTGATATTTTTATCCAGTTCTAAATGCCAGCTATTTAGCGTTCATCAGAGAGCTCCCACCAGCCAGCAGTCAACATCCGTTCAGTTGCTAAGAAATAAATTATCGGGATTTCAACAAGTTAATTTAGGATTCTTTTAAGATTCTGCATTTGAGAAACAGAAGGTTTATGTTGGGCTTTAAACCTGTTTTAATGAACTTGACCAGGTAGTTGTTTTATACTGTCTACAGTAAAATATGCAATAGACTTCTGACAGCATGGGACTGGAGACAGTTTCTTGTTTACAGCTAATAGCCAGTGCACATTGAGTTCCACAGTTACTGAGTGTGATCTTCTCTCATTTTCCCTTCCTCAAAGGAGAGAAAAAATGATAAAAGAGAAGTCAGATTAAAAGTAATTCTATTCCTTTCCTCTGAAGTCTAATGACTAGTCTTCTGTAGCAAAAGTAATTTGTATTCACTTTTCCAGTAATTGTGCTACGTTTACCCACAGTTATTGCTGATAAACAGGTAACGACAAGCCTCTGGACAGAATTCAACCCTTTTAACTAGCCTTTGGAGTTTGAAAGCTGCCATTTGTGAGTAGCTGGGGTTGCAGTGCTGTTCCCAGCACTTGCTTATTTTTAAGATTATAAAGACCTTAAAAGATTTAAGATTTAAAAAGTCTTTTGAAGATTATAAAATTCTTTTGAGGCAAGAGAAGGTAGCAAGAGGGCTTGTATTGGTTTTATTGATCAAGTTTTTGCAGTGAGCTACTGTGTTTTCAGAGATGCCTGAATGCAATAAAATGTGTATATAATTTCATACCTTCACTATATGCCTGGCATTGTATGTGCACGTCCATCTCTGTAAACCGTATTGCATTAATTATGTTAGGTTTCCTAGGTATGCAGAGGCCAGCCTGGTTTCTGAAAAAATAAAATAAAATAAAATAAAATAAAATAAAATAAAATAAAATAAATAAAATAAAATAAATAAATAAAATAAAATAAATAAAATAAAATAAAATAAAATAAAATAAAATAAAATAAAATAAAATAAAAAGAATTAGTAAAGCTGTTCCTCCTGAGAATAAAGTTATTTCTTAAAGCTTAAATCCAAACTGTGCTGATCAAGAACAGGGCTTTCTTGATGTACAAGGCAGTTTAATGCTAGTCTTTAATGTTGCCTGACTCATTCATTTGACCGTAGTAAATTCCACACACTGTCTGGAAGCAAAGATCTTTTAGTTGCATAGGTTCACAATGAAATACGAAGACAATTAAACTGCATGTCATAAATTATGGGTTTTGAGACTACCTACAAAATCCTAGAGTATGCCTAAAAATGACTACCAAAAGAGAACTTCATTCAAAGCTGGCCATTGGACAGCTTTTCTTCCTCATTCCACAGTTTTAAAGATTAAATTGCTTTTACATTGACTCATTATTTAACTTTATACCCAGGAGCCTTTTGGGAATATCTGATAACACATAAACACAGCGTCCATAAATGGTAGCATTGCATTACAAGCTCCAGCTTCACAGTATCCAAATTTTCAGCTCTCAGAAAATGAAGCACTTACACAAACCTTCCAATGCCACCCTAGATGTGCAACCAATACTGTGGTTTTTGCTTGACTCCTGAAGTTGATACAGGGACATTGCTTCCCAGGACATTTTCCAAGACAAGTTAAAATTTGGATTTAAATAACTTTGCAGTTGCACTGACTTTGTTTCCATAACACCAATATTCTGAGTCAAAGTTACTGGGAAGAAAAACAATTTATTCTGCTTCATGTATCAGCTATCAAGTTTTCTATTATGTCACTAACATCTTCATTGTTAATATGTTTTTGCAGTCTTTTTCCAAGACCTTTTAAAATATTTTATCTTTTTCTTATAACTCATTCAGCAGAATAATTATATTTAACAAAATAGAAGGAACTATTTCTGTTTTGGATGATTTGTAAGTCTTACTACTTTATAGCCACATATCCCAGAATCATTGCTGACCACGCACATCTGAGACACTAGACTGCGGTTGTAGATTGACTGAAGTCTGCAAATAGCAGTTACTAAAAAGTTATTTTAAAAGTTTTTTCCAGGTGACATTTGCAAAGGCACCACAGTGGCTTAATGACTAAATGCATTTTTTAAAACCAAATGGGTGTTTTTCTAAGAGCTAGATTTTAAGTGTACAACCAAATTCCAATGTGCAGATCTGCAGTCCTTTTTGTCAGACAGGAAAACACTTGCATGATTTTGAAAAGCCCAGTAGTATTTTACCTGGTCTTTAGCCACCTAAATGCATCCAAAATTTGAATTTATGTCACAATTGATATCGGTTTTTAAGTTATGTTTTTTACTCAAACTTTGAATAATTTACCCACTATATGGTATAGTAGAAAAAAATAAATGCAACAGCCTCTTTGCAGAATATCCTTGATTATATGGAGAGATATGAAAGCTGAAATCAGTGTAAGGCATTTCATTGATTTCAACAGGTTTGGGATCTGACCACAACCAACATAACTCCATTGACTATTTTTAATAATGGCACTTCTCATCTATTTAATTATTCCTCACAGTAGCCTTTATAAGGATTTATTTTCTACATAATGCATAGATAAATCATAATGATAAAGTATAACATGACACCATTATTCCCTAAGAAGATGGTCATAGCTTTTGTTTTATTTTCTTGATGGTTAATGCAAGCAATTCCTCATACACATAGAAAGCTGTGTGTGTGATCTTTTCCAGCAAAGATCAAAGAAGAGTTTAATTTCATGGCTTATCAATAAGAAAATCCTTCATTTTCCTAATTAATGTGTATATTCATAGGTTGGAAACTGAGATAAACTCCCACAGAAGACTAAAAAGGTATTAACTCTCCCAAGAAGACTGCAGTCTGCTTACAGCTTGAAGGAAGCAGCCCCTGCCAGGCTGCTTGTTCCCCAACTAGATGGTGGGCAAAAAATTAAGAAAGTTTTAGTACTCCAGTAGAGTACTAAATAGACCAATAGCACCAACAGACCAACTAGTAGCACAGTGAATTACTCCACCAAATACAGTGGGAACAAGACTGACATGTGTGACCTCCTGGCTTGAGACAGCCAGAAAAGTGCTACTGCAGTCCCTGTGCTCTGTTGCAAATGAAATCACCACTATTCTTCAGTTTGTTTTTATGAAAAATTGGAGAAAAATATTTCTTTTATGCAATATGTAGAGACCTGCACAGAAAACACTGATGTTATAAGCTGCTGAACAGTGTCTATCAGAACAATTAGTCATGAAGTCCAGGAGCTGACAAGGATCCTAATTTTACGCGATCATAGCTTCAGAGAATTCAGCCATCTTCTTTCCAAGCCTGCCATGAATATCAGCCCACTAAAGATAATTATTTGTTTTACTAGGTTATAGGTACAGTATATTAGAGAGGAATGCATATTAAGATGTCCTGAAGAAGCATTCTTTAACAAAATCAGAACCCAATTAATTACTAGCCAGGGTTACATCCCCAAGAATGACTAAGTAGTGCTCTGATGTAAATGAATGTCCATCCTAAGACTGAAGGAACTGTGAGAAACAAGGAATGTGCAGAATCCCAGCAAGAATGACGCACATTCGTCTTGCCTATACTTGCATAATCATCAGCCTTTAGTAAGGAAAGACAAGTGATTACATTTTCCTAATAAAAGCCTGCGTTATATGAAAAGAGATTTATTAAGTTGATAAGGACTTTAGAACATTCATTTTGGCTATCTGGTAGAAGCCTGTCATAGAAGTAGAACTATTTTGCAGATATTTTTAGCATGAAGTATTGGGATGAGATGAGCCTTGATCAGCAACATTGTAAAGCAGGTAAACACACGTTCAATTGTAAGCATGTGATTAATCCCAAACTTATTTAGCAAAACACAGTGTTTAAGACTCTGGTGTAACTCATAGCTCATTACTCAGACAGTCAGAGATAGCCTCAAACGCCTGGTTCAGCGAAAGAAATCTCCAAAAGTGTCATTTTGATTTGAAATCCACTTCCATCCTAAAGAAAAGTCTTGTGTGAAAGTACACTTCTTTTGCCTACATGACACTTCCTAGCCTGCAGGCCTATGCCATATCTCCACTAATATCTTTAAAAAGTCTTCTGACGAATTTCACATGCTCAAATTCACCAAGATCTTATTAAATATATATATACACATACATACAAACACACATATATATATTTTTGTAACTCACTGCAGGGATTTTTATTGGAAGAGGAGGACTTGGCTATAGTAAAATCCTGTGCCTAACGTGGAAAAGGAATGTGGGTGTTCTTCCCTCTGGGGTTTAGTCTTGTTTATTTTACAGGGCTAACATCTCAAAAAGCTGACATGCTCCAAAGCCATGTGTGAGTAATTTATACAATTCAGTATAATTTAAAAAACAGATCACTAAAACTCTGACTCAGTAAAGCACTGAAATATGTGCTTGAATACCAATGTGAACATGAGTACGCAGTGGCACAGGGAAATAACTTTTAGTAAATCCATTTATTCATTCAGCAGCCCCATATTTTATCCACTGTTGCACCAACATTTTGTTTTCTTTCTCCCATAATTTCACCCAGACCTTAAGTACTTTATTTAGAACTAGACTCCTGAAACAATAGGGACTGGCACAACCAAAAGACAAAAACAACACCAAAGACAGACATGCACAGGACAACCCAGAAGTAAGACAGAACAGCAATGAGTAAGACGGTATGGGCAGAAGAGCCCTGCTGATTTTTCTTTCATGAAAGTGCCTAAGTGTGAAAAAGAAGTCATAGGAAATGAGAAAAGGAACAGCTCCAGAATATTTATGCTGTGGCACAGAGGGAAAGTAAGATTACGAGGTGAGAGCTAGAAAGGAGTTTTTGGTACCTAAAATTTTTGCTAAAGATTTAGAAGAACATCACAAAAGCTGTTCTGACCATTTTCACATAATACTTCTCTAAATTTCTTATTCTATCCCAAGGTACCACCTAACAATATTGCTTATCTTGTCAAGGCGCAGGAGGAAACAAAAAAAAAAACAAAAAAAAAACAAAACAAAAAAAAAAAAAACACTGAAGAGACAACAGTGAAAGATTCAACTTGACAGGCAAGTTTCAGGCTAATTTTTTTCGCCTCCTAAATATAACTGTGTTTTCCTGGGGTATTGTAGTGTTCAGATTTTGACCTACTACTGTTTATCATATAGGCACCAATGTCATTCAGCCTTCACTCTGATTTCATTAGTCATTATAACTACTCCATGTTACAGTCTTCTCACCCTTCACTTCAGGTTTCTGGTTATTTCCATCAAAACCAGTGACCTCTCACCACTAGTAAATTCTGATGAACGCAAGGACATTTAGCAATTAGTAGAACCCAAAGGCAGTAATATCTGAAATTCCTCTGCCTTGGAGAGTTCTCTTGCACTACTCTAGCCAAATATGAGGTCTAACAATTTGCTGTCTTGTTTCCCAACATCTTAGTGTATGAAGACTTACTTTATTTGCCAATATCACTTATTCCTCCACACAATGTGGTTGTAATCAGGCCTCATTTTTTCTGCATGGGAGTCCCACTCATATCTTGGAGGATGCTCACACTTGTCTTTGAAACAGAAGAAAAATAAAAGCTGGGCTCCATAGCTAAATTATAGCAGGGGAAGACAATGTGACAAGGGTGACTAGAACAGGACCAGTTGTTCAAGGTGTAAGTTTTATGACATATTAGTCCGGAAGCAAAATACAGTGCCTTTTGAAATTACTATGTGCCATAAGCATCAGTATTTCACAGTGGCCTAGAACTGGAGTCTTTTTTTTTTCACCCCTATCTATCATTTAAAGATGCATAAGCACTCAAAGTGATCATTTCATCAGCCCATTCCCAGCCAGCTGCACAATTTTCAAAGCTAAACTGAGATTTTACTCAAACACCAGTCACACATCCATATTTGAGCTTCCATCACCTGAAAGCACTCTTGGAGGATCTCACATGAGTTAGAGAGCTGGCAAAATCAACCCATTGGCCACTGCCTTACCCACTTCAGTGCAGAAGCTAGTGACAGGGATTACACAAAACTTCACAAGTGCCAGCCCAGGCCTCTGCTGCTACACTCTGCAATTTGCCACAGGCACAAGTTGCACTAATGCTGTTGTATGTAACCATGTCACAAGTCAAACCAGTGACATAACGTGCCTCCATACTGCCTTCCTTCCTCCTTGTGCTCAAAAAGGGGATGTTACTTTTAAACCAAGACATATCAGTGATCTTTGCAAGCTGCTTTTTCATCCTTTCCTGAACACCTTCTTTTCTCTATTACTATACTGGAATTTCTGCTTCAAAATACTTTAAATTTAATTCTGTCATGTCCCATGCAATTTGAAGGACAAGTGGTAGTTGTTTAAAAATTTGTCATATGTTTTATGTCAAGATCATCGCTGAAAAATTATTATATGCATTGGAAGCTCAAATTGCTATCTATTGTGTACAGTCCTGGACACAACACAGTGCTTAGCGTTCTCTGGTGATTGTTGCCAGTAAGTGTGTGGATCTGAGCTTGGCATCATACACTTATATTTCTCAAGTTACCCAGTGCAGAAATTCTGAAATTCAGGCTGCCTTTACACTTTCACTGAACTTTATTCTGGCTACATAGGACAGATAATACCTGCTGTATTACTGTTATGTATTACATAAACTGGTTGGTGCAAAGTTAGCTTGTCAATAATTTATCAGATAAAAATTTATCGGAAACTGCAAAGGGTTTTAAACAAGTTCAGCACTTTTGCCACATGCCCAAAGCATTTTTCCAATACTAGGGGTTGGAATTTATTATGTAAATTAAAACACAAGCTACGGAGTACCGGGACAGAAGTGCAGTCTCCTGAATGACCTTGGCCTACCCATTCATGTCTATTTCTCCTTCCAAAACTTTGTCGTGAAATCTTCAGTGAACAATGGTGTTTACTAATTCTTTAGCATAGTGCAATAACGCCTCAAATCTGTTGACAAATCTAGGATTTATCTTATATATATATATATATATACACACACACACACACACACGTATAATGTAGTAGTGGAGACAGTGGAATAGAATGAAGCAGAGTTTAACCAGGTGTCTGTAAAGTTTTAATAGTACAAGAATCATAAAAGGCTCAAATATTCCTCATTCATCAACTTTTCCAATGTCTGTGCTAGGTACTTCAGGGCACAGTTACAGCAGAGCACTGACTCTGAGTAGCAACAGAGGCTCATCTCATCCATCCTCTGATGCACACACATCCAAATCTCTCTATGTGACTGAGGGTCGTGTGTACCTTGTTCACTTGCTCTGATGTTCATACTCACATGAATCATAAAACACAGTCTCAGAATCACTCTACCTTCCTTCTATGCTTCACAAGAAAAAAATCTTAATCCATCAAGATCCACTGAAGTTACTCACACTCCCTTCACCTTCCTAAAACCTGCTGCTGCCTTTTAGGATTTGACAAGACTCGGCAGCAGTTGCCTGGAGGAATCAACCTATAGGAGTTTGCAGCTTCAAATGAAGAGCATCTAAACTTCATTATACATAGTACCCTGGAAGGATAAACTGAATGAAAAGTTTACAATAATAGTTCAGCACAATAATTACAACAGTCCCAGACCTGCTGTTTTGAATTTCATCCATAACATTTAATTTGGGTTTCACACACACCTTTATAGAATTATCATTTCAGTTCTGCTTTGCACATAATTTTGTTTAGCATTCCCAATTGTACTTCCACTTGTACTACATCAGTTTTTTTTGACAGCCTTCTCTCAAACAAATGGTTCTTGGCAATGCACACTAGATTGAAATCATTCTTATTCATATTTTACCATAGTAGCTCTGTTCTAATAGAGCTCTGCATCTACCTCTCAGCACATAGTTGCTCTTTTGTTTTCTTTTTGCGGTCTCTTTTTTTTTTTTTTTTTTTTTTTGAGATCAAAAATCAAACTAAAACAACTAAACTATTAGAAAAACTGATTTTTTTTTTTTTAAATGTAAATTATGCAGTATTTCAGCAAAAGATATAATGGTCAGAGTAAAGTAATTCAGTTCCTAGAACATACTCTTTTCAGATAGTTTTTTTTCCTCTCCTTTCAATCAAAATATTACATTCTTTTCCTTTGAAGAATACCCATTTCAGATACAAAATATGTACTTAGCATTTTAAGCAATGCAGCAACATCTTTGTTTCTTGAAATGTTATGTAGTCTAAAATTTTAGTATACTCTGCTATGTTCTATACTCTAAATAATTAAGACACTTGTTTAAAATGAAAGAAGGAAGGAAGGAAGGAAGGAAGGAAGGAAGGAAGGAAGGAAGGAAGGAAGGAACCACCTGTCAGTGGTACTGCTATACCTCTTGGACAGCGTACAGGATGTTCTTTCCTCTGATCCCATATGCTTAGTCTGTCATGGATGTTTTTGGTAAGCACAGCGATCTCTTCTTCATATCACATGTTAACTGCATTCATTATCTTCTGTCAGTGTTTGGTCAGTTGCTGCAAACCTCAAGAGAGGGCATGTATTCATCTTAAAAACAGAACAGGACAAGACAGCAACTTAGAGAGAATTTATGCAGAATGTGAAGTAGAGCAGTTGACCATGAACACATTTAAGAAAGAATTTCATAGCATGTAGAAGCTACATGCAGGTTGAAATGTGTAATTCTTGACCTAAACTCTATCAGATCTGCTACCTGCCTAACTGAGAGACTGTCTCTGGCCTCCAGTGTGGCAGCTGAAATTCCCTAATGCCCTAAAGACAACCCTACTCTGAACAAATAAAAGATACTTCTGTACTTTTACTATGCTTTTGCTTCATTGACTCAAAATAGCCAGTCATCTGACCCCTAAGACACTGAAGCTTGAAGCTTTTTGTTTTGTGTTTTAAAAGTGCTGAAGGGCAACCATGCCACGGGCGCAGGGGTATTGTTATTAATCATTGGCTCAGCATCACTACTGAATTAGGTGTTTGATGATTGTTATTTGTTTTCTTTCTACACTGACTAGAGCATTTATTTACCAGTTTTCCTGTTCTTTACATTGGTTGATTGAAATGCCTAGAGAACAGATATCTCTGATCCTTTTATAAATTCAGAAGAAAAATAGCAGTAATACAAAATAAAGTCTGCTCTAGCATTGACCTACATTTAAGAAAAGTGGAATAATTAGCTGATTTGCAGTTTTATTTGTGCTCTTCCTGATACATGGTAAATGGTTCCTTCCAATGAGGATAGCATTCTGTGAAAGGGCAGTGTGCCAACCACATCTTGTTTCAAGACCCACCCTGCCATCCCAGGACAGGCAGACAGCCATTCTGGGTACACAGGCACACACTGCTACATATTTTAGGAATGATTAGCATCTCCTCAGTCACAGATAGTATTAAGCCAACTGGCCAGAAGAGACCTAATTATAACTCAACCAACCATCTGTGGTCACTCAGGCTGGCTCCAGGAGGGCAGGACCTGTATCTTACCCCAGTCCCACCCATGCCCTTCTATCTTTTTCCCCCACAGTGATGAAGAGTGAACTGGAACACAGCTGCAAAGTGATCTGGTTCATAGAGCTTATTCAGAAATGCAGGAGCTGAAAAGCATTTCCCCACCCCCACCCCCCCAGTTTTCAGTTCAGCGGCATGGGCCGGCTGACCAAACAGCTGCAGGTTTGTCAGTTCCTATCTGAGAACAATAGCAGGAATAGCAGGAGAGAATAGCAGGATAGCTCAGGGTGCAGGGAACAGTTTGAATCTGCAGGTTCGGCCACTCTTGAAAATGTCATGAGTGTTAGGTTGGCTTCTCAAAATTACAAGGACAGGGAAAGAACACAAGGTATTTCCCCCACTAACATCTGTGGAAATCAAAGGGGATTTTTCCCTTGGACTTATTTCCTGAACCTGCATTTTAAAGCTTTTTCTAATTCATAAACCTGAATTTAATAGAAATACTTGGATTATAAACTCCATCTTTTAAGTCTCACATCCATCCTACTCATCAGTATTGTAGCTAGGTTCTCTTTTTCTATCCATCTAATTCTGGGCTAACTGCATATGAATATATAACATATATATTATATATAAATATATTATATATAAATATATATATAATATATATTTTATATAACTGCATATGAATGCAATTTAATTATTCCTGATTCACATTGGAATAAATAATAGCACAATTCTCTCAAATGCTCTCTCTTAACTTAACTAGACAAGCAGAAAATAAATAAATGCTCTCTCAGATTAAAAAAAAAAAAAAAAAAAAAAAAAAAAAGCAAAATTGTATAACTTCAACCTAACATCACTTATTCACTTATAAAGAGCAAGACAAGAAGATAAATGATACCACTGCAAAACCTAAAATCCCACTTCACATACTGTTGGGAAAGCTTGCCCTGTTTTGCTCCATCATCTTACTGTTATAAATTTTTTGCAACCTTTTACAAAATTATTTTCCACATTGCTTGTGCTTTGCATTAATGCAAATGAAAGTAGCACACATTTTAAACCACCTAATACATTTTGGCTATGAAACCCAAATTTCTCAGTAAACCCTCCTACACAGTAAAGACTGACAGCTTCATAGCAATGGAAAGCCCTAAGATCCTGAATTATTAAAGAGGAAAAAATGTGAAAAAGTTATTATTTTAGGTAATTTGGAGAGGTTTCTAAAGGCTAGGAACAGGGTTCCCTTCTGCCTGAAGCCATTGCACTTAACTGTCACTGTCTCGAGTGCTCTGGATGTGAAGATTTAAAACAAACAAAGAAAACAACAACAAAACAGAGCTAGTAAATATTTTTAAGAGTCTCTATTTCTTCAAAAGTAGTTGGTGCACACATGATGTTCCATCCCATAAGGAAGTATTAGTTCAGCTTTGCTATGACCTACTCAATTAAGCCACAGCTTCACTATTTCAAGCTTGAACTCAAGAAACCTTTGAACTCATTACATTATCACTCTGTTCTAAACATATAGAACTGAATTTAAAATCAATATATAATCCAATTACTAATGTTGTGAACAAGAGAAAGATCTTTCCCACTATTCTTTTCCTGTTTTGAATGCATACATGGGTTAATTCAAAGATTTTTGGATGTCTAGTTGTTTATAACTCGTTTCATGTTTGCAGAAGGAATGTGATTTTCATTATCCAACACAGGAAATCTGATTCTAGAAACCACTCACCACACAAATACTGAAAACGTCTGAAAAAAACATCCTCAGTACATTTGTAACAGGGCATCCACATGGCCATCACTTGAAAACAGAGCTCCCTGTGCATGCTGAAAGGAAACATCCCATAAGTTAAAGCACAGATGGTGTATATAGAAAAATGAGTTATCTGGGGGAGAAGTCTTTTGACTTGGCCTTCACTGATGTACTACAATCTTGCTTGGGAATTCGGAATGATCATTTTTCCTCCACTTCCCTTGAACAATTAAACTGTAATCTGCAATGCAGCAATAATTTACAATGTGGCTCTAGGCAAAACGCCTACTGCAGATTCTCTGCTAGAAATGCTATTAACACAGCTAATATCAAGGTCATTCTCAAAGCCTTTCAAGAGCATCTATAGAATCGCCCTGTTTGTTTGCCTATGGTTAAGCTTTAAGGTTGATTACGTTAACAGACACACATAAGATCTGATTTTACTGAATGAGGTTTAACATTTATTGCCAAATTATTTTAATGGCTTGGGAAGCAGAAGCTCCAAAGGTAAATACATCTTCAACAGAAACATTAATATGCAGCCTCATTTAAAAGTTTGCAAATAATATCTGTCTTGATACCTCAGCGTATAAACATATAGTTGTTTTGTTGCTTTCAGAAAGTTGAAGTTTTGGCCTCTCTCTATATATTTTTACATACCCATAAAATGAATTAAAAACTTAAAATAATCTGTTACTTCAATTGCTTGTAAGTTTTAGGCAGTTGGCAGTAAATTTACTTTTATATAAATAAATGTTATCTCATTACCAACAATCTCCATTAGGATCTAACAGACCGTGAAACAGACTTTGCAAGATCAAGCAATGTGCTAAGTCCCAGAGAAATGTTATTTTACCTCCCAGCTTCAGAAGTTATGAGGGAAATGAAGCACTATATTACAGTTTGCAGCACAAACACTAAATAAGCCTTTTTATTCAGAGGCATTAGGAAAGAGAAGTGGAGATCACCCATAACTGTGAGGTGTACAGTTAGGTTATTTGGCACCTGTTCCTTAGCTTAATTTCCTACTGTTTTTTAACTTCTTACAGAATGTGTTTTTTTTTGCAGAGAAGAGGTTGTATTACTTCCAATACAGGATAAACTCATTTTAGACACCAGAGGAAACAACTATATCCTAGCACGTTACTGAAAAGAAACAAATAATAATAATAATAATAAAAAAAAAAGCCTATTCAGAGAAGAAAAATAAACAAAAATTTACAGACTTAGTGTTAAGAAAAAAATCAAAGCAAAACAAGAAAAAATAATTCTGAATGCTAATCAAAACATTAGAGCATTCACAATACACTCATCCTGTTTGTATAGAAATAACGTCCAGTTTATGAGACACACTGAGCTTCATATGTCTTCATCAAGCTAAACAGGTAATTTGTTAAGATAAATTACGGTCACATTTCATTCCCTACATGACATAAGAGATCAAAAATTGATACAGAATGTAAGCTATCCACCAAATAAATCCTGAGCCATTGTATCTTCACTCAGCATTTACAGACTGTGAGAGAGCACTGAGCTTGTAAGAGAATAAGCTTACCTGGCTTCAGACCTGGCAAAGACTTAAAGACCTTTGTACAGGGAACAAGTAAATAAATAAATAAATAAATAAATAAATATTCACACAGGGAGCTAGATTTTGATGGTGGTGGATGGTTCAAAGAAAATGTGAAGTTCATAGAAAGTGACCTTTCTATGAGAGGTTAGGGTGATTTCAGCCAATTCTGAAAAAAAAGGAGCTATAGCTTACAGCTTGATTGTACGCTTAAAGGTTTTCTGTAATCTTGTACTTGTAAGAAAGAGAGACATAAATTAGTAAATCCAGAGTAAATCCAAAGTGGAAAGTAAATCCAAAATGGGAAGATTAGGAGAATCTTCAACCATTCAAGATTCTTTTTGTCAGCAGCCTGGTTGACTGGTTGACACTTCCCACCTAACCTTAGCCCTGTTCTTGTGTGTAATGGAAATCAAGGGAAACATCTAGGGCCTTATAGTACATCAAATCCATAAGATAATAATAATTTAAGAAACAACGTATTCTTCATGGCTACAGAAAGAAAATATATTTTCCAGTCTGTGAAGGCTGCATCAAAAAAAAAATAAAAAAAAATGTGAGTCAAAACAAGAATACTTTTAAAATTCCTTATTTAGCACTTCTTCCCACCTTACTTTGTTCTTTATCCATATTTAAAGTTATCAGAACCAATTTTAAAATATAGAGACATAGATGTGGCCATTGATCCCTTCTCTCAGTGTTGCTGAGAAACAGCAAGGCAGAGCTCTGAAACTTGAAGGGAAAATGCTG